TTAGTAGTAGTAGTAGTAGTAGTAGTAGTAGTAGTAGTAGTAGTAGTAGTAGTAGTAGTAGTAGTAGTAGTAGTAGTAGTAGTAGTAGTAGTAGTATAAAGAACTATCCGCCCTATCTCCTTCCTTTGTTTTGTTAGTCTAATTTTTTAAACACCTTTAATCTTCGGCACTTAAACGACCTTATAGTAAATTACCTTATTGTGTTGCAAGTGCCGTAAAGCGCTCTCTCACTCACTCAAACACACACGCACGCTTGCACGCACACGCACACACACACAAACACGATCATCCTTAAAGAGACAGAATAGGGAAAAGGATAGGCTTTCAAATAAAATCAAACAATCTTCATACATGTATCATTTCCGCACTTTATTCACTCTCAGCCAATGGGATTCAACGCTGTGTTCAACGACATTCATCTGTGGGCGGTTATCTTCGCCATCATCATCATCAACTACATCTTCCAAGACGGCAAAAGTAACTACTTCCAAGGTGAGCTGTCGATACTAAATTATGTGTCAAATATCTCCATGAGTTTTGAGCTTAAATAAAATCTTACATGAACATGTAGCTGTGTGTTTGTTTAAGTAAAGAAAAGCATATCTACACAAACAGGCAGAAACAAAAGATCGGTAGAAAAAAAGTAGGACTTAAATTAGGGCAGAGGCGCACTTCAAATGGCCGCTTGTCGTTTCAAAGAAAAAAAAATGCACTTTTCCTCGTAAATTACATAAATTATCAAGACCTCTACACCCCAATCAACACTAGTATGCCATTTTTGGAGGAAACAAACTACATGTACTTAATTAGGCTGTTGGGAACCCCTCAACAGAAAAACAGAGAGAGAAAGATGCTCGATAAAACACTTTTTCCACTTGGATATCGAACACCTGTCCCTTGTGTGCAAGGAGAGACGCTTAGCCAATAACCACTCTACCACCATAGACGCCAATTCTTCTGTCTGGCTCCCGGGGTAACTCTGTTGTTTCGGAAAACACTATGCCAACATTCTGATTGACCCCTCGTGGAAAGATGGCGAAATGATCAAATTGAAGTTCTATACTGTGGAAACAATTATGTGGCGTAACTTATTTTATTGTCAAATATCTTCTAAACTATTGAACATAGATTCTCCAACGTTTGCACAATGGCTTATATATTAATTTGTCTTAACTGATGAATATTAGTTCAAACACCTGTACACGGTATTCTAAAAAAACCCGATGGTTTCTACTCAGTTTTTTAAAAGTTTACAGCTCGGGCAATATCACTTTTAAAAGTAAGTCTGTCATTATTTTTTACTCGCGACATTATGCTTATTGAATGCATGTTTTGAGAACCTTTAGTACAAAAAATGTGTTCACTATAAAATGAATTTATTGCCACAAGTTTTGCCACTAAAAAGTGTTATTGATGAGCGGTGACGTATGCGTATACAAAATGTGTGCAAGAAGCGGGAAGCACTGTGAACAATCCCATTTTCCGCGCAACGGAGATTTATAGTATTTTATATAAAGAAAGGTTTTATAATCTGGCCTCAATTGTTGTGAAAAAACAAACAATTAAGTTAAGACAAATTGGTACAAACTGCTGTGCAAAGTATGATTGGCGGTGATTCACCCGTTTAAGACATATTTGAAAATAAGTGGCGCCACGAATTTTTAACCGCACTATGATATAGTGATCAAATTGAAAACGCAAGCAAACATTGAGAAACAAAAGACTATGCATTTATACATGTGTTTAGAACCTCCTAGTTTTACATTCATATTATCGAAAAGGTTCAGGAAGTCCCAATCTCTGAACACAGGGAACAAAAACATGAAGAATATAACACGAAAGTACTTTCCAGGTATGTACAAATAATTATAGTAAATGGGACCACCCAAAAAAAAAAAAGTTTTGATCATTTAGGACACGGGCTTCGACACTGCCTGTCAGGGCCAACTCCTCGAGCAAAGACGGATATAACTGTGGTTTTATTCACCTCGCATAATTTAGCAAAAATTTATCATTTTTTTGCACAATTTCAGATTATTTTTCTTTATCATTCTTTGTTAAAATTAACAGAACCACATAATTTCACATTTTTGGGCTCAGTTTGCATAATTTCAGAATGTTTCTTGTATAAAACGACGGAGACAGATATTACATTCGAGCCGACAGA